TTTTTTTTTTTTTTTTTTTTTTTTTTTTTTTTTTTTTTTTTCTTTTTCTTTTTCTTTTTCTTTTTCTTTTTCTTTTTCTTTTTCTTTTTCTTTTTCTTTTTCTTTTTCTTTTTCTTTTTCTTTTTCTTTTTCTTTTTCTTTTTCTTTTTCTTTTTCTTTTTCTTTTTCTTTTTCTTTTTCTTTTTCTTTTTCTTTATTTTTCCTTGCAAGTTGAAAGAATAGTCTTTGATCCAGCCCACAATGTAGTTTACCTCAGTTTTGGGATGCCACTGCTGCCATGCAAAGAACATGCAGCAGGCATAGCATGAAGGTATCTCCCAATAGGGCTATTCATGAGGCTTTGCAAAGAAAAGGCCTCAAACTTTATGACAGAATCTGCTTGACTGAGCTCCAGCTCCACCAAAAGCAAGTTTGGGTTTGAGGTTTCCTTTCTTCAGCAGCTGTTGATTTAACAGAAAGTGTTTACAGATGTCGCAGCTAAATCTGCCATTTTGGGGGACAAACTTGAAAAGACACATTTCCACCCGTAATCCAATTAGGGAACTGAAAGAGGGGAGCAGGGAGGAGGGTGTTCAGGTAGTTCCTAAGATGCCTCCATTGCTACCCTACTGCAGCAGCAGGAGCAGAGCCAGCAATACCCACGTTATCTCAGAGCAGCAGATAGTTCAGCAGCACGACTGACGAGTGATGACGAAGAGGAACTACGAGACAGTGATGGGTATGTGACAGATAAAGTGACTGTCTACAGTCTACTTTCCAACATACAGTACAGAGATGTTTTTGGCAAGCTTTTGTGTTCTGCTTGATTCTGTGCAAAACCCTCAGACCTGGAATATAATGGCGTGTCTGGAAGAAATGCAATTTAAAAAAGTCCTGCAGAAGGGTTTCTTCCATGCTTGTGACATCATTGTTTCTTACAGAATGGCTTGCTATAAGCTGAAATGCTTGCAGTCCATGAAGGCTCTGGGAATTAGTGTGTTGCTGGGCTGGGCTGTTGCTAAATTGCAGTTGGGGTTGTTTTAATTTCTGACCTTTTATGTATCTGTAACCCTTGATGAACAGTGAAATTAATGTCTGCCTGTTCTTTCTGGTTCTGTTCTCTCTAGCATATGGCCAGCAAGTCTACTTCGTTCTCTGTCTCGGCTAGATGAGGACTCAGAGGTAAGGATCCACATGTTGTCACCCTTCCTGCTTTGTGGGAGGTGGGGGAATGGGGCAGCTGTGCAACTCAGTTGTCTTATGTGGGCTGCTATGGGCAGCTGGCTGGAAGCACAGACCTTGCTTTGGAGCTCATACTACCATGTCTCCCCAAGTCACTACTTGAAGGTGAACATAGAGAGAGAAGCCCTTTGCACTACGGCACTGGAAAATCTGTGTTCCTTATAGTTCTAGCAGTGACTGACAGATTGCAGATACTCCAAGTCCTGTCTTCCTGGTGCCAACAGAACAGCAAAGTGGAGTACTTTCCTCCCGGTTCCTGTTGTGGTTTCCTTTCCCCAGCAGCTGTTCATTTGACACCAAGTGTTTAGGGCTACCACAGCAGACTTTGCCTGTTTAGGGGAGAAAGAGGGCAAGAAAGACCTCCATCACAAAACCAATCAGGGAACTGAAATGGGAGCAGGGAGAAGGGTGTTCAGGTGGTTGCTAAGCTGCCTCCATTTCTACCCCATTGCAGCAGTGGCAGCGGCGCCCGCAATACCCACGGTTTTTCACAGCAGCAGACAATTCAGCAGTGCTACTGATGAGCGACATTGAAGAGGAACAAGGAGATTATGATGAGTACGTGAGAGAGAGAGTTTCTCTCTAAAGTCCAGATTCTACTCTACTGTAGAAACCTGTGGTTTACCAAGCTTTTGAGATCTGCTTGATCCTGTGTGAAAAAATTTGACTTGAAATATAGTGGTCTGTCTGGAAGAGAATGAACTAAAAAAAAACCAAAAACAAAACAGCAAAATACAGCAGAAAACTTTTTCTCCGCTATTCACGATGTCATTATTGAATGTTTCTTACAGAATGGCTTGAGTTATACTACAGTACATAAAAATTCTTGGAATGATTGATTTGCTGGGCTGGGATGGTGCTAAATCAGAACAGGGGATGTTTAATTTTCTGAGATTTCATGTCTCGGTAACCCTGAATGCATGGTGAAATTAATGTCTACCTGTTCTTTCTGGTTCTGTTCTGTCTAGCATATGGCCAGCAGGCCCTGCTAGTTCTCTGTTTTGGGTGGATGAGGACTCAGAGGTAAGGATCCACATGTTGTCATCCTTCCTGCTTTGTGGGAGGGGGAACGGGGCAGAGGGGGAGCTGTGCAACTCAGTTGTCTTATGTGGGATGTTACGGGCAGGTGGCTGGAAGCGCAGACCTTGCTTTGATGCTCCAACTTGCATGACCCTCCAAGTCACTTCTTGGTGGTGTGCATAGAGGGGGAAACCCTTTCCACGATGGCAATGGCAGATCTGTGGGTTCCCTATGGTGCTATCAGTGACTGACAGATTGCAGATAGTTCAGATTGCAGATCTTGTTTGCCTGGTGCCAACGGAGCAGCCAACAGGAATTCTTTCCTCCCTGTCCCTGTTGTGGTTTCGGTTCTTCAGCAGCTGTTCATCTTACACAAGGTGTTTTTGACTATGGCAGCTGAATGTGCCCATTTGGGCAAGAAAGAGAGAAACAAACACCTCCAGCCTATGTCCAGCCAGGGAACTGAAAGAGGGGAGCAGGGAGGAGGGTGTTCAGGTAGTTCCTAAGATGCCTCCATTGCTACCCTATTGCAGCAGCAGGAGCAGAGCCAGCAATACCCACGTTTTGTCAGAGCAACAGATAATTCAGCAGCACGACTGACGAGTGATGACGAAGAGGAACTACGAGACAGTGATGGGTATGTGACAGATAAAGTGACTGTCTACAGTCTACTTTCCAACATACAGTACAGAGGTGTTTTTGGCAAGCTTTTGTGTTCTGCTTGATTCTGTGCAAAACCCTCAGACCTGGAATATAATGGCATGTCTGGAAGAGATGCAATTTAAAAAAGTCCTGCAGAAGGGTTTCTTCCATGCTTGTGACATCATTGTTTCTTACAGAATGGCTTGCTATAAGCTGAAATGCTTGCAGTCCATGAAGGCTCTGGGAATTAGTGTGTTGCTGGGCTGGGCTGTTGCTAAATTGCAGTTGGGGTTGTTTTAATTTCTGACCTTTTATGTATCTGTAACCCTTGATGGACAGTGAAATTAATGTCTGCCTGTTCTTTCTGGTTCTGTTCTCTCTAGCATATGGCCAGCAAGTCTACTTCGTTCTCTGTCTCGGCTAGATGAGGATTCAGAGGTAAGGATCCACATGTTGTCACCCTTCCTGCTTTGTGGGAGGTGGGGGAATGGGGCAGCTGTGCAACTCAGTTGTCTTATGTGGGCTGCTATGGGCAGCTGGCTGGAAGCACAGACCTTGCTTTGGAGCTCATACTACCATGTCTCCCCAAGTCACTACTTGAAGGTGAACATAGAGAGAGAAGCCCTTTGCACTACAGCACTGGAAAATCTGTGTTCCTTATAGTTCTAGCAGTGACTGACAGATTGCAGATACTCCAAGTCCTGTCTTCCTGGTGCCAACAGAACAGCAAAGTGGAGTACTTTCCTCCCGGTTCCTGTTGTGGTTTCCTTTCTCCAGCAGCTGTTCATTTGACACCAAGTGTTTAGGGCTACCACAGCAGACTTTGCCTGTTTAGGGGAGAAAGAGGGCAAGAAAGACCTCCATCACAAAACCAATCAGGGAACTGAAATGGGAGCAGGGAGAAGGGTGTTCAGGTGGTTGCTAAGCTGCCTCCATTTCTACCCCATTGCAGCAGTGGCAGCGGCGCCCGCAATACCCACGGTTTTTCACAGCAGCAGACAATTCAGCAGTGCTACTGATGAGCGACATTGAAGAGGAACAAGGAGATTATGATGAGTACGTGAGAGAGAGAGTCTCTCTCTAAAGTCCAGATTCTGCTCTACTGTAGAAACCTGTGGTTTACCAAGCTTTTGAGATCTGCTTGATCCTGTGTGAAAAAATTTGACTTGAAATATAGTGGTCTGTCTGGAAGAGAATGAACCAAAAAAGAAAAAAAAACCAACCAGCAAAATACAGCAGAAAACTTTTTCTCCGCTATTCACGATGTCATTATTGAATGTTTCTTACAGAATGGCTTGAGTTACACTACAGTACATAAAAATTCTTGGAATGATTGAGTTGCTGGGCTGGGATGGTGCTAAATCAGAACAGGGGATGTTTAATTTTCTGAGATTTCATGTCTCGGTAACCCTGAATGCATGGTGAAATTAATGTCCACCTGTTCTTTCTGGTTCTGTTCTGTCTAGCATATGGCCAGCAGGCCCTGCTAGTTCTCTGTTTTGGGTGGATGAGGACTCAGAGGTAAGG